AAGCTGGTTCTTGGGGCAGCGATCACTGCTCGGTGCAGGCAACACTGTCCCTTCTGGTGCAGGTTGCCCTGCTTATCCACATCCCCTGTTAGCTCACGAGACCGAACCCCTAGCAACCAACCAAAAATAAAATCAACCAAGTCAGGTGTCGACCCTCAGCGAGGTGGAGACGGTTCCCCTGCCTCATAAAATAAGAGCTTGGCCCCAGATACTGCTGTGAGTCAGCTCCAAGCACCCTCATTCCTCCAGTGCCTTTTTCTACTTCTTGCAATGACTGCAATTAAAGTACTTTCACTTTGCACTACTTTTCTCTGCCTCCTCTTCCTCTTCCATGCTGGAGAGAGACAAGCCTGGAAAGGGTGAGTCTGGGGACTCTAGACCCCAGATCCACTGGATATAACAAGTTTGGGGTACAATGTTCTTTTTTTTTTTTCCCATTTCTTTGTGCTTTTAAATTCCCCGTCATAGGGCTGGGGATTTAGCTCAGCGGCAAAAGTGCCTGCCTGGCAAGGGCAAGGTTGTGAGTTCGGTTCCCGATACCGGAGAAAAACCAAAAAAAAAAAAAAAAAAGTAAATTCCCCGTCACCTCTTTCTCAATCCCAGGGTCATGTGATGGACACTCTTCTTCCTTCATCTTACCCTGAAGCCTGACAATAATCACACACTAAGGAGTTGAGCCTGCAGATGCCCAATGTGTAACTGAAAGCAGGATAAAGCATGGTATATAAATACCTTCATGTATATCTGTCTTCTTTATTACTTTAAAACTTTGGCTCACATTTGCAAAGCAGTCTACTCATCAGAACTAGACAGGCCCTGAAGTGACAAGAGTAGTAATTACCCACCAGCAACAAAGGAGTTAACTTTTCAGCAGAACTGCTCCACTGAAGACATCTGCTCTGCTATATTGAGCAATCATAACAAAATATAGTAACAGTGGACAGAAACTACATAGGATAGAAACAAATCTCTTTTGCAAGAGTCATTTTCTTCAATGTGCCCTGACCCAGCTTCTCTAAAAGTCCATGTATGTAGATATTCCTCTCTAAAGCTAAAAGATTTTCTGAAGGTGGAAGAAATAGACTTGTTAAACTGCAACTTCAAAAATAAAACTAGACACAATGCAGGCACCCTCAGAAAATCTACAAGGATGAAAATCACACTCGATATGGTAAAATTTGCTGTCTTAATCTTTTCCCATGTCCTCAGACCTTCATAAAAGCCCCAGAGTGAGAACCCTAATGGAACGATTCCTTGTTTGAACCTTGCCCGCTGCTTCTCGAACGTGTTCTCTAACTCCACTAGTCTTATCTTTCCTCATATTCTGGGTAAATACAGTACTTTTGATGCCTTTATCACAATCGCACCTGTCCCAGTCTAGCATAGCAATTTGCTGACCCATAGGGAGACTCTCTCCTTACCTCTCTTGGGCTCTCTTCACTGCGGATCTTGTGCCTGGTTGGGAAACCAGCCCATGGGTGACTGAAGTTCCCTGGGTGGGTCTACTTACTGTGGGATCCGAAGGCCTCTGAGCTTAGATCCAAATCACTGTAGTCTGCCAGAATATGAGCTAAAGAATTCCTTCTAGTCCCTGTGGAAAGCTTTAGTTCTTGTTTACTATTGATACACCCTGTCTTGAGCCACTTATTGGTGGGACTTCAAGGAAGACAAAAACAGGAGGGTCTGCTTTGTTCTTATGGGTAGAGGGCTACTTTTTTCTTACTCTCTGCACACGGTACAATTGGCAGCAGAAGGTCATCCAGGAATAACCTGTTTATATTGTAAGCACGTCCCTTTAATAGTTTCACTGCCCTTTGCTGATTCTTTGCTTCTGCTGACCTCTAGAGTTCCATCTGTCCAGGAGAGGAAGACCCTCCCACTTCTTCTTGCGGCCTGTTCACAAGGATCTGTTCACAAGCTCTTCTCTCTGCTCCCATTCAGTCTGACCAGTGAGACATAGTAGCTCATGCCCCACTTTGAACAGAGTGAAATAGTTTACTCTCATGGGTTACACACCTTTCTAGGGAGACACCTCAGATAAGAGCACATCTGGAGTGCCCCTGAGACAGGAGGTTTGTCACCTTTCAGGGATGCCTTCTGGGTGGGTGCAGCATCTCCATAGGACACTATGGTAACAGTCTTGTGTCCTTACCACGTCTGACTCACCCTTTGGCTCCATTCTTAAGAACTGATCTAAAATCTTTATTCTCTTGACACATTTCTAGGAAACTGGATGCATCCTGAGTCCGTACTCAAGTGAAATAAATCGGACACACATGTAAATGCCACATTGATGCTCTGGTGTGAGAAGCTGAAAGTGTAAATAAGGACCAAAATGTATGATAAGAATTGTTAAATAGAAAGAAAATGTTCAAACAGGGAGGGGAACAAGGGAGAGGAGACGGGGGAAAGGAAAGAAGAGAAAAGTAAATAAAAATGAGAAAAGATGGAAACAAAAGCTTTTGAAAATGGAGAGACGAGGAGGGGTTGAAGGGAGAGTAGGGGAATGGGGAAAAAACCCCAAGTATATCATGTACAGGTACAAATTCTGTATGAAGAATGTGATTGTTATGTATTTCTAAAATGTACCAATAAAATCTGATTGCAAAAATAAATAAACAAAATTTTCATCCTTCAGCTCTCAAGAAGAAAAGTCTTATTTTCCTGTATGACATTGCCTGGCTTCAACATAAGCTCCCAGAATGGGAACATTAAGTCTCAAAATTAGAGAGCTATACTGCAATTGGACTACGTTTTGCACACTCAGGCCATAGTTTCCAAAGTTTTCTGTGTCCAGGCCTTTATGGCTCTGTCACAGGACTCTGCATTGTGAGAGGGATGCTACGTGTGCCTTTCTAAGTGCTTGTGTCCTAATCTTGAAGTGAATGTCTTTAATAATCCTTATTTCAACTTTTCCTAAACCCCAAAGTTCTCTTCACAGAATAATCTACCCTGCACTGGAAATCTTTTGTACCCTGATGCCCTTTCCTCCTTTTTGCTCTCGCTGGTTTATCTCTAAAACATAAAAATAATGAAAGTATTACAAAAAAGTCTGTGATGAGCCAGGCATATTGGCACACGCCTGTAATCCCAGCACTCAGGAGCCTGAAGCAGGAAATTGTCATGAGTTTGAGGCCATCTTGGATACATAAGCGCCTGCCTGGCAAGCGCAAGGTCGTGAGTTCGGTTCCCGGTACCGGAAAAAAAAAAAAAAAAAAAAAAAAAGAAAGAAAAAAGAAATCTGTGTTATGATTCACCTAAAAATAAGAAGATCTAATTCATACCCTCCTAAGGAAAATTCTAACATACCTATCTACAGTTGTAAGCCAAATCTAGGAGACAATGGATTAAAATATTCCAACATGGTCAATTCATCTAAAAGCATACTGCATCGAGCCTGTCCTGCAGGAGGAAGCACTTTCAGACTAACACTCCGCAGGAGACCAAAGCTTATAAGAACCATGGATTTCTCCTGCAGTGTAATTGTTTTGTGTGTCTTGTCTCTTTGTTAATCTGTGTTTACTATAATGGCTTTAAAAAATGAAGGGAAACCAAGATGAATGCAATTATTTATCACAATCATATATTAATAAACAAGCTTTTTAAAGAGGAGAAATATTTTTCTTTGATTTGCCCCTTGGGCCTAGGGTATTGCTGAATACAGCCCTCTATGGTTGACAAAGCTCCTGTTTGCAACCATTTGTTTCTGTTGCTCCACAAGGAGTGGTTTCTCCGTTATTTTCCAGTGTCCAGTTGTGCTCTGACACAAACCCCAGCAGTAAGGAAAATACAGTTGTTTCTTAGTAAGCAATAATATTTAAAGAAAAAAATCTGCAAAAGGCCAAACTGATTGCACAGCGATCCCCTCCTCACAGCAGCACAAGGCAGGCTGAGCTCCAAGCTCAAGCCCATGCCAAGGGAGTACAGGGGAAGAGAACTGGGATAAACCTCTTAAAGTGCCAGTACTAGCGGTAAGCACTGTAGAAAAATGGAAATGGAGGAGAAACTTCCAGGCCACCAGACTGAGCTCAGACTGCAACCGGAACACAAGCTGCTATGGAGAACAAATCAGTCTGCAAAGCTGACTGTGAGGTGGAAAAAATGTGGCTCTCAGGTTGCCTGCATCCTGCACTGGGTCCCTGTGAATGGCAAGGCTGGGGTTGACTCCTGCCTCAGGACTCCAAGGGAAGGGAAACAAGCCCTCCCACCTGCCTGTGGGGGAATTAAGGAGAGGCCTTGGGGAGTATCTTGGCTAAGTGTTAAACTGACTGTTAAATTCTATTGTTTAAATTGAGACTTCTGTCTCATTGATATGACAAAGGTTTCTTGTGAACAGCTTTCGGATAATTCTTACACTGTAATTATAGGGTTAACTGGCACTTCTTTCTGCTTCCTGTTCAGCTTTATCTAAGTCTGTTACTTACCCAGTCCTAATTGAAATATAAACAACTCTGAAACGAGGGGGAAAATGTAGACTAAGCATTTTAAAATCCAAGTTGTCCCAGGGCTTGTGTTGGAAGGAGGCTGGTAAATAGAGAGGAAGACATACGAAAAGTAAGAGACATGCAGCTATTTTGGTTGAAAAATCATGTTATATGGTAAGATTCTTTTCCTGTTAAAATGACAGAAGAAGCATCAGTAGGAAATAGAAAGTGAAAATAAAGTCTCAGAATATTAAGGCAAGCAAAAGATTTTTTCAAGGGTAAAGTTTACAGAAACATTTAAATATGTCACTTAAGTGTAATTAAGAGATTATTAAATGTGTTTCCTAAAACCAAACTTTGATACACTGACATAAAACTAAAATCTAAGTTTCCATGCTTGACATTCCTTTACCTTTAGTAAAATTTTCAAAGCTGGCTTAGAAAAGTGAACAACTTCATTCATTTGCTTCCAGAAGATCCATCAGCTCTTTGAGTCAGCTAATCTACACTGGACACTAAATCAGTCCTCTAGGCCTAAAAGTCAGCAAGATGCTCCCCTCTCAGCAGGCAGAGCCAGAATACTCCAACCTCCTAATGCTCTGAGTGATTCAAGGTTCCCAAATCTTGAGGGGAAAATGTAAGGCAGATAGATAGCTATTAGTGGGCCTGAAGGACAAGGGACAGAGAAACAATACGCTTTACTAATTTTACTATAAAATGAAGAAATCTCAATTGCCAGAAAACAACAGATCTTCGATTTCATGTTTCCTGTTGTTGTTATTTTTACTTACTTAGAAAAATCTGCCAGTTAGACTGCTGTGGCATCTAAGACCTAGTTTATGTCTTTCTGTTCTGACTGTGTCAATTCACTCATATCTGTGGTGATAACTCTATTTGTATTCCTTGAAAACAAATACACAAAAAAATGTTCAACATCTCTGGCTATTAGAGAAATGAAAATTAAAATGATCC